CTCTCTCTCTCTCTCTCTCTCTCTCTCTCTCTCTCTCTCTCTCTCTCTCTCCCCCCCAAAAAAAGAAGAAAAGAAGAAGAAAAAGTATCCGTAAGTACAAGAAAGCCATGGATCGGTGACCTAGTTCATCGACCCACTTCAAGGTCAGAGGGGTGATATTCTGGGTTGTGAACATGCTTTTATGGAAATGAAAAAGACTTTCAAAAATGGATGAGTAAGGAGTCACGATGGGGGGTGGTGGTGCGGAAAGAGAACCGGTGATCCGTTTCAGAGATTACTTTTGATGTGAAAGAAATTGTATTCTTAGTCGTTAACATCCTTTAAAAAAAGTAGAATGGGAAATTAATGTGTATTTGCAGGAGAGGGGGGTGTAGGAGGGGTAGTAGTGTATTATAAAGAGTCCCTTTATAGTTGCATCTTTATCTCACTGTGAAAAGATGGGAATGACGGTACTCTAAAAATGTTAGTGCTGAATTCAAGGTTTTATCAAACAGTGGGGTGTGACGGTAGTTGAAGTACCGGATCTTTGGTTGAACATAGCAGCTATTTCGTCTAACTTGATTGTAAATTGTAAACTGCTTCCAGTTGAAGCGGTTATGAGCGTGGTTGATGGGTGCTCTTTAACATTTATTACTCTTACCTCCCCTTCTTTTCATTTATTTGTATATTACCCTCTTGTATTTGTAAGCCCTCAAATCGTTGGTGCTTTTGAAAGGACCTGTTGTGTTGTAAATGCCGTAAAACTCTTACTAAATTGTAATATAGACCTAACAAGGCGGTCCACTTCAAAATGATACACATTATCATAATCCGGTTAAAATGGAAAAGGACTGTATAAGCAGCCCGGTCCGAATTTCAGGGTCAGGCCAAGACGAACGAAGTAAAGCTCAAAACTCGAAACTCGTCGTCAGACCTTGGTTGTTGGTGGTTGTCGGATCAAGGCCTATCTGTAGAGCGACACACAGCGAGCGGAGCGTGACACACACACACACACACGCACACACACAGACACGCCGAGAGAGGGGGACTGGGGGCTATCGTGTGTCAATTTCGGTCGAGTCACACGAATTTCACCGACGCACGTCTCGATCTACGCACGCACTGTAGGCTAGATCTCAACCTACAACACGTCTTCTCGTGTACGTGTGTCATGTGTGCGTGCAGATTTTGATCTGTTTCTGTCCCCGTTATGTAAAGTGAAAAGGAAAGTTACAACCATTACTACTACACTGTTGCAGAGACTGTTATAGGTGGACCACAATATTCGTTCGTTCGTTCATTCGTGACATTCGGTCAGTGTGAAGAAAGTGTTTAACAGTTACGTGTGCCGCGGACCGACTTTCGGGTGTGGATAAGACGGGGGAGTCGGCAACATGGTAAGTTTGGTTAAGTAAGAGTTAAGAACGAGTCGAAACGTCGGACACTTCCGTGTTGAGATTCCTGGCAAGAATTAAAATTCTACCTCGGTGCTATTTAAGAGGTACCTCGGGTACCGGGTGTATAGATACTGTGGAAAGTTCTTGTTCTTACATAAGCAAAGTTCTGTTTTTACATTAACTTCTCTTCTTTGATTTTAAAGTTTTTAAAGTTGTGTCAGAGAGGGTTTATAGTAATATTAGTAGTATTACTGTAAACTCTCTGGTTGTGTTTAACGCCCGTAGATCTGGTGTTATTAACTTACTCTCCAACTCGCCATTCCTCTCTATGGTTTTTTTTTCTCTCTTGTATCTCTGCGTTATTAACTCGGGGTCAACTTTGATAACGAGCGACCACAATGAGACAAAGTAGAACAGAATGCTAGAGGTAGGGTTTGAGTTACGACGGTTAGAGTTTGGTCTCTTCTCTATTGTGTTTGTTGGGGTGGTCGGTCGTTACGGAAGTTTTTCCTTAACTGGTGTACGTATTAAATTGTTGGGTTGTTTTTTTTACTCTTGTACTTCATGGTATTAACTCACATACATCTGTGTTGTTAACGTTTGTAGGCCTATTTCTCATGTTGTCGACTCGTGCATCCCTGTGTAGTTAACTTTTGCACTTTTCTGTGTTATTACTTACTGTACATATTTTATTTTATTTTATTTTGTT